GGAGACTCATGCACGAGCTCCGACACTAAACTCACCTCCTCTTGCAAGTTTCCGCTGTCCATAGCGTTCCTTGACAGCGTCGTTTCTAAGTCACCAATTTAGTGCTACTTGGTCCCAATGGAATTTCCCATTGGGAACCTGCTAGCACTAAGACGCTAACTGGTTAGCAAGATGCTTCCAACAAACCGGCCACAACCAAACGTGGTTGCGAACCTTCTGCCATAACAATCCCGCCCCCTTGATAAACGACCAATCATATTCAATTTATTCACTCGTGTAAAGTTGGGATCCACTCAGGAGAATTCAGAAATGTAACGGATGGAACAGCCGCTTCCTTATGACTTTAATAATGAATATAAGACGATAAAATACAAATTTTTTAGGCCATCAGGTTCAGCTAGTTGTGGATCCCTTCAATCAGTCAAAGAAAATGATGTCCAGTTAAAATCCCAACATGGAATAAATCCTGTCCTTTCCTTTGACTGCGGGATTTGGCATAATATAGAGCTGTGGTTGGTAGAAAGCACCACAAAGAGGATACTTGAGATAAAAAGAAGCTTAGAGAGCAGCGAAGCACCAAAGGAACAAAGAAAAATTGACCTCAAAGCAGAACTTTACGAGAAAAGACAGAAGTTATCTAGTATAGAGCATTAAAGATGGTGACTTCAGAATTATTTAAATGAGGCATGAAGGAGACATTAAAGGGTATTTGTGAGAAACGGAGGGAAATGACTTGAAAGATTAGGTAGAAGACAAGCCGATCATAAACAGTCCAAACATGACAAAAAGCTGCAGAAACGTGGTTCATCTTAAGTCATTAAGGTCTTAAAAGAAAACAAAATCTACCTGCAATGATACTTTACTGTAATTCCAATAAACTGCCCTTTCCCCGTCGTCCATCTTTTCTATTCTTCGGTTCGCTGCTAATCTCTGCTTCCCAGCTGCAGTTTCCATTTCGCTTTCAGAAAGACTTCATTTAACTCCCTGAAAGCAATGCCACTTTCCTTCACACATTACATACAATAGAGGGATAAAACTTCCCTCCCGCTTTGGCTTATCTGTCCCTAATTGACTGCCAGCGGCAGGGCTGCACGCCGAGGCGGTCCTCCTTTTTTTGTGTGTGTCTCTGATTGTTGCACCGAACTGGAGCTGCTGGTATTTAACTGTCGCACTCGTTTACAATCGGTCATGGCGGAGTAACGGAAACGGTCCTCAGGCAGGTATACAGGCCTCATCCAGCATTAGGAGATCTGCAGTCGCTGAATTGGAGGGACTGATACCTGCAGACCAAACAGGCTGGACTGTGCTGCAGGTGATTGAATCGCTGCTGCTTCCAGCGGGAAGAGACACAGAGGAACATCTTTTTAGTTTCTAATTCTCTCAAGTTCGTATCTGGAGGTCAATTTCTCTGCATTTTATGTAAGTTTAAACTTTTGTGTCACTTAGAGCTATTATAGTGGGACTTTCAAGGCAGTTTCTCCTACTGTGGGTGTGCTTATAAAAAGAAGCGTTTCAAGGTACAAATTAAGAGCCTTTTAAAGCATTATTTTCTTTTTTTCACATTTTTTATAAAAAAAAAAAATAGGCTTTTATGTACTTATTTCATCAAAGCTACAAAAAAAACACACATTCACTTATACACTGCAAAAACGATCTAGAAATAAGTAAAAATTTCTTAAATTAAGTTTACTCACCCTTAATTTGAGTTGGTAAATGAGATAGTTTGCCAATGGAATGAGTAATTTTACTCCTAAAATAAGATAATTAGATAATATGCACTTGAAATAAGACAATGAAATTGTGTTTTCTTATATTAAGTGTAAATTGTCTTGTTCCATTGGCAAAATGTTTCTTTTACCTCCTCAATTTAAGAACAAATGCACTTATTTTAAGAAAGAATGACTTATAAAGATTTAGATTTTTTGC